CCGCGACCCACCCCGCGCCCGCCCCCTCATTCTTATCCGCAGCTACGGGGTGTTATGTCTCTATTCTTTTCGTGCCGTCGGATCTCGGAGGCCTGCGGAAACCACAGGTAGATAATCAGAGCGAGAGAGAGAGAGAGAGAGAGAGAGAGACATCAAAACAACCCATAGTGACATAGAGGTCTCAGGAGCGCCCCATACACCTCCGGCCTTACGCAGGGTTGTGGAAAACACAATGTCGTCGTCAGGTGTCGGTCCAGCGTTCGCGCTGTCCGCCTCGCTTTCTCGCGGCCGGCACCCTATGCCACGGCGCCCAGTTGAGCGTTCTACCACTCCACCGGCTGTCTGCGCAGACGGAAATATTGTCGGCCAGGGCCTTTTTCGCATTTCTGAAGAGCGCGGTCCAATCCTCCACTCCGAACTTGGTGGCGAACTCCTCGCTGATGTGAGTGGCCCGCTTGACGTGAGAGACCCACGATTCATCTGCTTCGCGTCCAATGCGTACCATTTTGCGCAGCATGCTGCGCTGTGTCGTGCGAAGCTCCTTCTCTTGGCCCACGGTCAGAGTCCAAGTTCTGGCGACATACAACACGCTTGGAGCAACGCGAGCATGAAACGAACGCATGCGATGCCGGAGAGGTAGACGTCGCTGGCGCAGAATATCCTTCAAGCGAGAATACTGCCCATCCAGCAGAAATTCGATGCGTCAGATCTGTATCGTGGTAAATATCCAAATCAAATTTCCTGACCCCAAGTATTTCTCTGATTCCCCTTGCTGTAGGACCCGAGCGTCGTGCCACATGCATCTCACGGTGGACGGTCGCGGAACAGCGTTTGTGAGTATCACGGTCTTCCCCATGTGAACATTTAAACCGTACTGGTTCGCCTCTCTGTCCAGGTCCACGATCCTTTTGGCCACGTTCCTCTTGTTTGTGCACAGCAATAAAACGTCGTCCGCAAAGCAGAGGCTCGTGAGGGGCAGGTACGGGGAGTCTATGACGATGCCGTCGCGCGGCCCTGTACAGCATTCGATCTGGCTCTCCCATCGCGCCTTCCGCTTCCTGAAGATAGCCTCCATCTGGACCACGAACAAGTAGGAGCTGATAAAGTCGCCCTGCTTGACCCCGCGTGAGTATTCAAACTGCCTGTTCCGTGTTCGGGCCAGTACTGTGACTCCCTGCTTCGAGTAGCGTCTCTTCAGGATGTTGATGTAACCGTGCGGGGCGCCTTGCTCTCGTAGTGCCGCCCATAGCGCGTCGTGCTCCACCGTGTCGTATGCTGTCTCGAATTCCACCATGCCGACCCAGAGCTCCACGTCGTAGTCCCTGCTGCCCTCGAAAGCGAGAGTCGTGCACAGCAGGTGGTCCACCGTGCTGAGGCCCTGCCTGTACGCCGCCTGGTCGACCGACTGTCCACGAGCAATCGGACCCAGACTGTCCGAGCTAATCAGAGGGGCCAGTCAGACCCTGACTGCAGCTCGAAGTCGCTGCCGTCCTCTGCGCATCGTTTCACCGATCCCTCTCCTCGCTGTCGTGGCCTGGGCCCTACCAGCCGACTTCCATTCCTGGATGGGAATGTAGGCTGTTCCCTGTGGGTTTCGAGGGGCACCTCCCCGACAGGGGTGGTGGGATGGTGGGGACCAGGATGGGGATACAGATTTCTTGAACGATACTGGCCCTCGTGAGCAGGAGGCCTCGAGCCTCAGAGATGTGGCAACTTGCTGGAGCGTGGCCTTCGACTTGGGCCCCGGTCCAGGGTGGGGGACGGCCTCACGCCTCGCTGCACCGCCGCCGCGGCCCCTGCAAAGCGATTCGCCGGCTGCCGCCGCCTACGCTCCGTCGCGGCGAGAGGCTCGACCACAGTGGGACCTCTGCAAAGGGCTCGACCTCAGCCCGACCTCAGCTGGTACCCAGGAGCTGTCAAGAGGCCCTCGTGGCGCCTCGCCTCGTGAGCTCCTATGAAGTGGAGGTCCGCGTCCTTGAAGGCCAGCACCAGCTCCTCCTCACCTTTCTCCCCTTCTTCCTCAATCCTCACCCTCCTCTTCGGCGTCGTCGATGCCGTGGGTCGACGCCGCGCTGGGGAGGAACAAGCGCGATGACTGCAACGTCATCGTGGCGATGGGGCTCTGAAAAAATAAAGAGGCACGTTCACTGTCCCACACGGATGTTCCCCACCAATCTAAAGCCGAACGGGCCCCTGCCAGGAGTCGTGAGCGAGTGTGGGCATACGTGGGCGTGTGCGGATGAAGAAATATTAGTCAGAGCGTGTGTCTGATGTTGGGCAAGTCTGACTGTGAGTGAATCGGATGTTGAGTCTTAACATGGGTGGGTCGCGGTATGGGCCAGCTTGAACCAGTGAGTCGGACTGCGAGTGGGTCGAATTTTGAGTCTGACTGCGTACGAGTGAGTGAGTCTGGGTGGGATGCGGAATGCGTATGGTAGTGGATGTGTAGGGAGGGGAACGGACCACACTGATATGAAGAACCCTATAAGAATGAGATGAGGGATCCACATTACGTGTGCTGCCGACGGGGAACAGAAATACACTCATTGGGGTCCACGCAGCATAGTATTGCAATCAACACAGCATTGTGCATGCATACGAGCCCGCGCATAGGAGTAGGAGTCCGAGAATGAACATGTATGGGTCTGCGCAACAACGCATAGGAGACCACGCATCAAGGCGCAAACTTAGAAAACCATAGCAGTCCACGCAACGGAAGGGCTCGAGTCCAAACAGCCGAGGCCACAGTGGCAAAGCGGTCAACACAGCAACGGCGGACCGCACAAAACAGGCCACAGCCATCCAAGCAGCCAAAGTCATAGCAATCCACGCGGCCAAGGAGGACCGCCTTACGCCGGGCTAGTTTCTTAGAGCGCAAATGGGTCGCACGTATGAATTCTCAAGCCGCATTGGGAATGGCGCATCCCACGTCCGAGTGCTGCATCCCACGGTAGATACCTTCATTCTAACTATGACGCGCGTCTAGACAAATGAACAAACAGCAACATATGAACTGTCGGAGGTCCATGTCGAATTCATGGATGTGCGCGCGGCGCTGGACCCCTCTCCAGGGGCGGCGTTGGAGGCACCGCCAGGGGGGTCCAGCGCCGCCCCAAGACATCGACCTTAAACTCAGACAGCTTAACCTCATGCCCGTGAGAATAAACACTAGGGGATAATAAAGTTCGGGGTTCAGGGAGAGATAATAAAAGTAGCCCAGCAGACCTCAGCATAATCTCGAAGTAAAAGATGATCAAGAGGAGACCAAGCCGAGCACGTTTGAGACATCATTGGCGTTTAGTTTTCATAGAAATATCCTCAACAATGGCTTATCTCGCTGGAGACATCCTCGACAAATCCCTTGTTTCGCGACATCCGCAAATTATTGCTTATTTCGCTTGGGACACAGTCAAACTATTGCTTATTTCGCTTGAGAAAGGAAAAATCCAAAGTTCCAAATCTAGCCATTTTAATTTACAAGCGCTTTATGAAAATTGATGTTTTAAAGTGCTCGTGTAGGGTAGCTCATGTGCTTCATTTTCCATGGATAATCAACCCCAGGAATAAAAAAGTTCAGGCGAGCGTGAGGACAGATAGACATATAAAATAAGAAGAGGAAAGTAGAAGAATAATAAGAAGAGAAGAAGCAGAGAAGAAGAAGAAGAGAAGAAGAACTGAAAAATGGATAGTTCCAAATCTATCAATTTTAATTTACAAACGCTTTATGAAACTTGATGTTTTAAAGTGCTCATGTAGGGTAGCTCATGTGCTCCCCTTTCCATGGATAGTCAACCCCCGAGATAAAAAAGTTCAGGCGCGCGCGGGGATAGATACATATATAAAAAGGAAGATAATAAAAAATATAAATAAAAAGAAAAAACTTGCTGGTTTAGCTTGAAACATTCTTGAGACATCCTTGAAACATTGCTCGTTTCGTTTGAGTCTGCCTCCCAAGATTATTGGTTTCGCTTGACACATCCTGAGAAAGTGTGATCGCTTCGCTTGATGTTGCTACATCAACATCGCTTGATGTTGCTATCTCAACATAGCGTTTCGAGGTGATAATGAAGTTCGGCCTCAGCGCTCGCCGCCCAATTTGAATTTTGTATAGGGCGACGATAATCAACTCTAAACACTGAAGGGGGGGGTCCCTTTATTATCATCGGCATGCGGTTATACTTATGTCGGGGTCGACCAGGAGGGGGGCGTCCAAAAGGGGGGGGCGCATGTGCTGCGTGGCCCAGGGGGGGGGGGCCAGGGACGTAACGAACTGAGAAGAGGCGCCATGAAATCTTGGAAAATATCATGGCCCACGCCATGGTATCCCCCCCCCTAGTCATCCCCCCCCTCCCTTGGCCGCCCCCGATGGAGGCAGCACCCCTGGTGGTGGTGGTGGCCGGCGTGCGCGCACGTCCTCTCGGGGGGGCACTCGTCCCCCCCCTCCCGCTGATACCCCACGCCTCTCGGCCTCCCGGATATTTCACGCCTCCACCCCCCTCCCCCTCCCCTCGGCCTCTCGGAGATGTCATGGCCCACGCCATGAGATCCCCCCTTAGTCATCACCCCCCTCTTTGCCGCCCCCGAACTCATGCAGCGTCTCTTCTTCGAGCGCGGAAGTGTCGCATCCCACGGTTGGATCAGTCTATCGCGCGGCGTGGAGTGCTTCGCCTGTCTATCCTCCCGCTGCTCCTCTTCGTCCTCCTCCTCCTCCTCCTCGCTCCTCCTCCTAAGCCTCCTCCTCGTCCTCCTGCTCCTCCTCCTCCTCCTCGTCCATCCTCGTCCCTCCTCCTCCTCCTCCTCCACCTCCTCCTCCTCCTCCTCCTACGCCAATTCCTTCTCCTCATCCTCCTCCTCCTCCTCTTCCTCCTCCTCCTCCTTCTCCCCGTCCTCCTCCCCTCCTCCTCCTCCTGCTCCTCCTCCTCCTGCTCCTCTTCGTCCTCCTCCTCATCCTCGCCCAAGGGGGTGACTGCCCGACGGCGCAGGCGCCAACCATCCGCATCTTGACCGTCTTGTCCTTCGACGCCGTGATCAGACGCCGGGACTCCTGGAAACCAACCGCCACGGCGCATCCTCCTGCCTCCGCTCTTGCTTGTCCACTGCACGCTCCATCGCCCACCCATCAAACCACGTCTGTGGGTGTGCTGGCAGAGAGCTTCCGGAAAGGTCATGTCATGATGCTTGGAGCCAAGACAGGTGAGGCGACAGCGCTGTCCACGGCAAGCCGTGGCGATCTTAACGGTGGCAGCCGGGGGGCGGGCATTGCAAGCAAAGCCATCAATTGCCTCCTCCTTCTCCTGCGTCATGCTCCTCCTCCTCCGCCCGTCCCCCTCCTCGTTCTCACACAGGGCGCCCGATACACCACCGCCATGCCTGACCAGAGCCATCCTGGGCCCTGCTGACATGGATCAGGGATCCGTGGACCTGGCGCGTGGGCGCCAGATCCACTGATAATAACTCCGAGTTTCTTAATAAGCGTCGGGGGGGGGCGTCACCCCCGCCGACAGCCCCACATCGACCCCCGTTGCGGGCAGCCACCGCGCGCCGAAGGCGCTCCGATCCCCGTCGCGGCGCGACGACGAGGCGAGGTTGACCCCCGTCGGGGGGGCCCCCCCCCCACGCTTATGAAGAAACCCAGAGTAGGCGAGGGTCCCCCCGGAAACGTGAGGCCAGTGTCTATTGCTTTGGTGGCAGGGCGCACCGTCGCCCCCTCGACGTGCGCCGCCCCTCCTCGCCACCCTCGACATCACGCCGTAGCATGTACTCTCACAGCGTGGCTCCCCAAAGGGGTCTGGACCTCTTCCCCCGGGATCTGTTCTCCATCCCGAGCCGTTCTTTGACGGCCCGGAACCCCGGCATCAAGGCAACCCCGAGACCGAAAAGTGCCCAAACCTGCCCGCAGCATTCTTGTACGACGCGACCGAGCTCAGAGCCCATCCGGCTCAACTGCAGGCAGAGCCGCGCCCATCCGGGCGGCACTGGAAGAGCCGTAGCCGCTTGAGGAAAGTCAGACAAAAACTAGTCAAACCGTACAATAAGGACGCACGATAAGGATACAAGGGCCGGGGAAGGCCATGTCAGCACTTTGCGAGTGGAGAGCGACCAGCGAAAGCGGCCGAGAATGGGACCAAAGGGAAGGGTGCAAGGGCGACCTAGTAACATCACTCATCCTTACTACGCGAGTTGAGCGCCGAAGGGCACCTAACTTCGGGCTTCGCGTTGCGCGAAGCGCAAATGACTTCGCGCTCAATCGCTAATATCTTCGCGCTCTCCCGCCGCCCACAAGGGGAGACGAGAAAGATGAGGAGGAATCGGAGCTGAACCGCGAAGCGCGAATAACTCACTTCGCGCCATCGAGGGCGCCCTTCACAATCCAGGGTAATCTTGGAAAGCCGCTGATCCGTGCTGTGCGGGTTGACTGTATGGCTCCTCGTCCTGCCGCCACCCTCCCCCCCCGCGCCTCCATCCCGCCTCCTCGCCTCATCCCTCCATCTCTCCTCCACCTCCTCCCCCTCAGCTGCCCAGCCGCTCGCCTTCCTCGTAGTCGCACCCCACACCCCCGTCTCTCCACCCCCCTCTCCTCCTCCACCTCCCACTCCTCCCTCCCCCCCTCATCTCCTCCTCCATCTGCCTCCGCCTCCTCGTCCTCCCTCCTCCCCGCCCTGCCCCAACATCCCTTCCCTCTCCCTCTGTTTTTCCTCCTCCTCCTCATCCTCATCCTGTTCCTGCTCCTCATCCTCCTCCTGGTTCCTGGTGGCCTCAAGATCTTCAGACAGAATCTCCCCCCTCCCCAGGGCCGGTCGGCCCTTGGGAGGGGGTGCTCAAACTTTGGCCAGGCGACCCCCTGGAGCACGGCTCCGGGGGACACCGGTGGCATGGGTAAGATGTAACATGGGAGCACCTACAGACAGACGCCGACAGGACGAGGGGAATCGGGAGGAGGAGGCCTCCTCCTCCTCCTCAGCTTCCTCCTCCTCATCCTCCTCACCCTCCTCCTCCCACTTTTCCTCCTCCGCCCTCTGTACCCCTCCCTCCCCATCCCTCTTCACCATCAACCCTCGTGCCTGCTGGTCCTGGCTCTACACCTCAGCACTGTCATCATCAGACCCCCTCACGCCTCCTCCGTCCTGCACGGCCTCCCGCCGCCGAGAGGTGCGAGTGCGCCTCCCCCCTGCGACCTTCTCCTCCTCCTCCGCCTCGTCCTCTTCCTCCCTCCTCCTGCTCCTGCTCCTGCTCCTACTCCTACTCCTCCTGCTCCTGGTCCTGCTCCTCCTCCTCCTTCTCCTCCTCCTCCTCCTTCATTCCTTCTCCTCATACATGACTTCTCTGTCGCAGCCCGAGGACAATTTTTAGGGCGGGCCGGGCCTCGCCGGAGACTTCCTCACCGTGTATGACCCGGAAGCTTAAACATTGGCAACCGTTTCCCAGATGGAGGGCGGGTCGTTATCAAAATGTGGCTCTCGCCTTGGCGTCGCACACATTCTCTCTAAACATATTTGCAAGAGTTTTACTGATTGAGGATACCCTGTCTCCAAAATGTGGCTATCGCCTTAGCGCAACGCACATTCGTTCGCAACATGTGCAAGAAATTCACGAATCGAGGGCGGTTCCGCTTAAAAATGTGGCTCTCGCCTCGCCCTACCGCCGCGCACATTGCTTCTAAACATTTGCAAGGGTTTCACGGATTGAGGGCGGTTCCTTTTCAAAATGTGGCTCTCACCCTAGCGACGCGCACATTGGCTTTAAACATTTGCATGGGTTTCACGGATTGAGGGCGGTTCCTTATCAAAATGTGGCTCTCGCCCTAGCGGCGCGCACATTCGTTCTGAATTGTCCCAGTGCGACCCTACCTAGGAGTTGGAGCCCCTAGGAAAGCAGCATTAGTAGTATCAGTAAAGCTAAGCTAAAGCTAAGCTAAAGCTAAGCTAAAGCTAAACTGAAGCTAAGCCAAAGCTAAGCTAAAGCTAAGCTAAAGCTAAGCTAAAGCTAAGCTAATGCTAAGCTACAGCTAAGCGACAACTTAGCTAAAGCTAAGCTAAAGCTAAGTTAAAGCTAACCTAAATCTAAGCTAAAGCTAAGCTACAGCTAAGCTAAAGCTAAGCTAAATCTAATATAAAGCTAGGCTAAAGCTAAGCTACAGCTGAGCTAAAGCTCAGCTAAGGTAAAGCTAAGGTACAGCTAAGGTAAAGCTAAGGTAACGCTAATATAAAACTAAACTGAAGCTAAGATAAAGCTAAGCCAAAGCTAAGGTAAGGCTAAGCTACAGCTAAGCTAGAGCTAAGCTAACTATAAGCTAACACTAAGCTAAATATAAGCTAAATCTAAGCTAACGCTAGGCTAAAACTAAGCTAACGCTAAGCTAACGCTAAGCTAAAGCTAAGCTAAATTTAAGCTACAACTAAGCTAAAGCTAAAGCTAAAGCTAAAGCTAAAGCTAAAACTCCCAGGGGACTAGGGGAACCGCTCCCAAGGGACTGGGGGAACCGCGGGGCGGATACTGAGGGAACCGCCCGAGGCGGGCCCCACTGCCCGGCCCGTTAAGCTTCCGAGTAAGAACCCTTCTAGGCAGAGCCTAGGTAGGGAAAACTTACAATGGTTTCGTCGATGACCACGATCAACGTACCAGAAATGGCGTTTTGGAAGGATTCTGGATTTTACGGGTGCAACAGTCACGTTGATTGACGGTGTTGAAATCCTAAGAATGGCGTTCTGGCACGATCCAAGATCGTCAACACGCAACAATCAGGTTGATCCTTGGCGTTGGACTCCCGAGAACAATGTTTTGGCATGCTCCCGGGTCTTCAAACGTCTGTCTTCCAAATATGCAGATCCCTCAATAGAAATGAATACTTGTAGGGGCCTATAAAGAAGGTTTACACTGGTCCTCCTTCTCCTCCTCCTCCTCCTCCTCTTCCTCCTCCTCCTCTTCCTCCTCCTCCTCTTCCTTCTCCTCCTCCTCCTCCTAGTGATCCTTCTCCTCCTCCTCCCAATCCCCATCCCCCTTCCATGTATCCCCCATCCTGCTCACCCTCCTGCATTCGCAACCCTTCCCAGCCTCGAGCCACATGATGCTCGTGATCTCTTCTCTGTGCGCCTGGAAAGCGTAACTAGCCTCGCCGGCCTGGCGGCAAGGGCAAGCCGCGGCGGAAGATGGAGATGAGGACGAGGTGGGCTTCGCCAAAACGATAAGAAGCTACTAAGCCCGATTGAAAGGCCACCGAGTCGTACTAGATTGGATTGAGCCCGGAATCAAGGAAGATTAGGCGGGATCAAGCAGGATTGAGCGGGAATGATCTAGATCAGGCCAGTTTTCGACCAGAGATACACCAGCGTGTATTCTGAATGTAACCTCCCAGAAGCTGCATCCCGAGGAGAAGAAGATGGGGAGAAGTCGAGGAGGAGGAGGACGCCACGTAGCTTACTGGCCAACGAAGAGCCCGAGAAAGAGATACACGGTGTTGAGGTGGCCAGGTCGACGGGGAGGAGGACGACGACGGCGGCAGAGAGAATGGGGGACGAAGACACCGTGCCTCCTGGGCTGACCACATCGCGACGCGGGCTCTCCGCAGCCTCTGACGCCAAGCGACGCGGGCTCTCCCCAGCCTCTCCCGCTGCGAACATCCCACGAGAACCGCACCGTCAAAATCCCGGACGGGCCCGCTCAAAAGCGCAGGCAGTTCCGAGTTCCGGCGTACCCGAGCCTTACGTCTCCCCGATCCCCCTGCCTTCTAGGGTTGGGTCGGGCATGTCTCCCTACAGGCGGACTTGTACGCCAAATCCGCCGGCCCCCTTGTGGGGCCACCAGGCTGTAGGATCAGGATTTGCTGTCCCGTGCGCCGGTTCCAGTTTCCAGTTTCCACTGTTACAGTTCTGCTTTATGCTGCTTATTTATGCGGTTTACTGTTCCTTGTTGTAGACCGCGCGAGGGGGGGGAGCCGAAAAGCACCATGGTTAGCACCTCCTGGGAGGGTTCTCAGAATTTCTGGGGGGGTCGAAATTGACACCCCTCACGCAGATCGGCGGGGTCAGGGTCCAAAAACACATGTGATTTGCGACATTTCTGAACTTCGGCGGCACTCCTCACGCAGATCGGTGGGGTCAGGGTCGAATAACTAATGGGATTTGCCACACTCATGAAATTCAGCGGCACCCCTCACGTAGATCGGCGGGGTCAGAGTCCAAAAGCCCATGGGATTTGCCACATTTCTAAAAATCCGGTGGCACCCCTCACGCAGATCGCCAGGGTCAGAGTCCAACATGATCGACCCACGAACCCGGAAAGGAATATTGAAATGTAAAGCATGGCAACGTTTCAAAGACACCTGATTGGGAGACGGGCAAGCGCAATGCTGAGTGTATCGATCTTGATGTATCGGGTCGAGGGCTGTGCTGTGCTGCGCCGTGCTGAACTGCGATGTGCAATGCCGGGATTGTGCTCTACAGCGTTGTGGATCGAGTCCTCCTTTGCATCCGAAGCCTGACCGAACTGATCTGGATCTTAAGCTCGAGCTGCCTCAGCACATAGTAGTTGCCCCAAAGCTAATGGACAGGGGGACATGCCAGGAGGACGCGCCGCGGAACGTCCCAAGGGACGCGCCAGGCGACATGTCAGGGAAAATGCCATGGGGACGCACCGCGGGACGTGCCAAAAGGACGCGCTACGGAACGTGCCAATGGACGGGCCACGGGCCGTGCCAGGACTGCCTCATAAGATACACTCGCCGTTCGGGGGGCTAAATTCCCGATGGGGCCGATCTGAGGCCGCTGCGCGACCGCTCGAAGCGACCGTTTGCCCCCTCCGCACGGGCAACAATCCGCAGCGAAAACCAACCATACACCAACAACCTACGCCCCGAAGACCCAGGTCGATGCGCGATCCGAAACTCGACCGCAGCCAAGTCGCCAAAGCCGCTCAAGACAGCCGCGAGGCCATCAAACAACTCCAAGGGGCAAGTGACCCGCGACAAGATCTGGCAGAGTGCCAGCACAGCTCCGCTACCAGGGTAAATTCTACGCCAACGCGCGCATCCCAGCGCAGCTGAGCCAGCTGTCGGACTAGGGCGCCAACGCACTTCTCAGCGCTGAGGGTTTTGAGCAAAAATGGCTATGCGGAGGTGGAAGAGGGCACGAGAAGGTCACAAGGGGTAATGGCTGAGAGGGGAGAAGGTCACAAAGGATGGGTCCGTCACCCGCGCCTCGTCCGAGTGCCAGGCGGGCCCATCATGAGCCCGCCTGGCACTCGGACGAGGCGCCGAAGATGCCATCGGCAACAGCGTTCTGCCGCCCCTCCCTCGGACAGCCGCTGCACCCTCTTGCAGTCGCCACTTCCCTTATCCATCGATGCCCAGCACCCTCCCCCAACCCCTCCTCATCCCCCATCCGCCCTCCTCTTAACTCTCATTTTGCCTCGTTGTGCCCCGACGGCCCGCCGCCGATATATCATCTGCCCTCTGCCGTGTGCTACACGCAATAACGTCATGATATGCTACGCTGTGTTTTTCACTCGCGGCCGAACTACGCACGAACCGCACCTTGGACGAACGATGCATCATGTCCCAACTTAGATTCTCGCACGGCCGCAAACCCCCGACCGTGAACAACCGCGAACCAACAATCGGTGGCACAATCTGCTGGCCAGGCCGCCGACCTGCATCGAAATCCTGGCGTCCAGTGTGTCACACCGCTGGCCGCAGACGAGTGGCCTAGGCAGTGGTGGGCGGCATAGTCCACCAGACTCGTTTCGAAACGCATGCCGTCGCATCCCCCTTTCACCACAGAAGGGGTGGGGGTTGCGGGAAGGGGTTCCCCCATTGCTGGGCGTATCTCCGCAGGAAGGACTACGCCGCGAAACTCGACCAGCACCGCAAGGAAGCTAAGTCGGCGCGCAATGTCGAGGCTGCTGGGCAGAACCGCGCGAGCAGGAGTTAAGGAAGTGGTGTGCGTGTGTGTGTGCAAGTGCATGTGCGTGTGCGTGTGTGGCGTGCGTGTGTTCTGGGAGGGGGGGCGGGCGGGCGTCGAGGCGCCCCCGAACGGGATCGTGCAGTCCGAGGCGAGTTTGTGGAAGGGTGTTACAGGCTCGGGCGCGCGGCGCGCTCACATCCCGCCACGCTGCAAGTCCAAGGCGTGGCTGGAGGCAAGCAACTACGACAACGCGCCCAGGTCCGCCCTCGTCTTCGCGTGGAAGAAGCACCTCAAGAGCCAGGAGCTCGACGACCCGCGCTGCCCGATCAAGGACCTGCTGAAACATTACACGGACGAGGAGGAACAGGCCACCGCAGCCGCGAGCTCGTCGAGAGAATGAGTGGGCAGGCTGCTCGCGTCAGTGTTTGCTCTGCCGTCGTAGCTGTCATTTCCCTCGATCGTTATCGCACCGGGGTGTTGGGCGTCCTTCTCAAACATCCTCTCTCTCGTCATCTCCTGTTATTCCTTCGACATGCAATTGGGCGCCCCCTGGATGTCCACCAGGCCGTCCTCGCCGACAAGCTTCACGAGGCAACGACTCCCCAATATGTCGAACAGATCCTTCTCCTTCGGCTTCAAGACGCACGCCGCCAGCGCCTGCGTGGTCTCGAACAGGCCGAAGCAGCCGAAGGGATCGACGCACTGGCCATTGCGGACCGCCTTCAAAACGGACAAGCCAGGATCCCAGAAGGCGCTCTTGGCAGCCACTCGCAAGAGGCTGTCAGCAGACCCAATTGATTCGAATTTCATGCGGCACTCCTCGACGCCCCCAGGCAAGCTGCGCCCCCCCCCCCCCCCTTCCGCGACACACTGCACCAGCGGTGAAACGCAGGACGAAAGCAAGGCATCCCATTCCGATGGATCAAATACGCACGCAAGCTTGAGCGGGGCCTTGGCGTCGAAGCCGATCGCGTAGAAATCGCGCCCAGACATGTATTTGAAAGACTTGAGTTTGGCTGTCAATGCGCCGAAGCCGCGCGCGTCACCCGCGACGATGCCGCAGTCCGAGTCGGGGGGGCCCGCTCGGTCTGATGGCGACCTTGCCTTCCTTCGCCAAAACACAGCACGACTGCTTCTCTGCTATGGACATGTCGACGCCCGTGGTCCTGCAAAACTCCAGCATGTCCATCTCGAAAGTCGGCTTGGAGTCGTTGGCAACGCCCCGGTTGGGCCACTACGGAGACTGTTGGGGCTAGTCATGTTCTGGGGACCGATCGCCTTCAGGTCATCGGGACTTTTCTGGTGCACCCCTTTGGGGATCATTGGGATTATGTCGAGCGGCTCGAGCTTCCAGTTGACGCCCATGTTACGATGAACTTTCGATGCGACGTCCTTCGCGATCAAGTTCGCGCAATCTCCGTCGATCCCTCTATCTTGGTCCAAGACGCGCCGCAGGTCCCAGGCAGACCTGCAGAAGCAATCCTCGGCAATATTGGGCAGCAGCGGCCTCGTCCGATTCTCGCTGAACCGCCCCATGTACTTCGAGGTCATTTGGGGCCCAGCCTCTCGAAGAATACCGAGATGCTGCCGAACTGGAACGAGGTCGAGAGGCGAGTTCTTCAAGCGAGCCGCGAGGCGGAATGCATTTTTGCGGCGGCACTTGCAAGAAGAGCCCTGCTCCATCATGACAGACTCACCGACTCACCCCCTCGCCCGACATTTGGCTCCGCCGTCGCCCCTGCCCTTCAGCCTGCCACCGCTGCTGAAAACTGCCCTCTTCCAATCCCCCCCCCCGCCCACACCCGCCCCCCCACCCCCCCCCCCCCACCGCCCCCGAGGATCCTTTTTTCTTTGGGGGGGAACCAACATTCGGGGCCCCCGCGCACCCCCCCTCGGCCTACCTCTGATCGGCGCGGCCGCAGCGCCCCTAAACAAATTGGCGCCGATCCTCCCGGAAGGCCGATGGTTGCGCAGGCCGGGGAAATTCAAACTTGATGCGCTTCGGAACGATTGCAAACAACAACCAAAACACGGAAACACACGTGAAACAACATTTGGCAATTGTTCGTTGCAGGAAGAGGGCCCTGTGGATGATGGGCTGTCGCTCAACGCCTCGCCCCCGACACGGCCTTGAAGCCAACTGCGTCGTTGCCGAGCGCCTCCCAATTCTCGCAGTCTTGCTTGAAGAGGTCGAGGACCTTGTCCTGGGACTGGAGGTCGCCGAGGGCCGCTGCCAAGCGCCTCGGCCAGCCAACCCATTAACTTGTAGAGCCTCTTGAAGCGACCAGCGTTCAAGACAAGGGAATAGGTGCCGATCAGCTCGGCCAGGTCACCCTCGATCATCAGAAGCGGGTGGGGTGCGGTCACTTCGCGCGCGTCGAGGTGGCTTTGATCCAAAGTGAAGCCGAAGTGGGCCATCATCCCCTTGCCAGCGAACGGCACAGACGTGGACTCCAAGAAAACTTGTAGGAACTCGCCGTTGACAACTTGGCCCACCTCCCAGCCCGTGACGCGCGTGAGATCCTTGAGGTTGTGGATATGCCAAATGGCCCACGGGTCGCGGATGGCGAACGTCGCACCGTCGATGTTATTGTTCTTCGTGTTGTTGTAGTTGGCGGTTGCAACATCCACTTTGTCCCGAGTGGCCATCCTGACGCGCTTCTGCTCGGCTGCCACAGACTTCATGCTCGCGGCCTGGTCGTTGCCCCCAGGCTGGTTCGCTTCGCTGTGCAACTCCTTCATCTTGACTCCGAGCTTCTTCGCGCTCGACTGCTCGCGCACCATGGCCGCGTGCGAGAAGCAGGCGGCGCGCATCGCGACTTGCATGCGGTCGATGCGAGAGGACCAATGGCCGCCAAACCACATGGCGGGTTCGTCCTTCCTGCCAGCCACCTCGCCGAAGCCGGCTTAGGCCATGTCATTCCACGCCTCCTGCAGGATGCCATTCTCCATGATGCGCGTCGGCCCCCCCACTTCCTCGAGAATGGCAGGCGCCGCCTCGCAGAAGATCGGGCACGTGTGAGGGTTGACGAACGTCTTCACCTCCGTCGCGATGTCCTCGAACTCTCTGAACATCCTGCCCGTCAAAGGGGCCATAGATTACGTTCCTCGCCAGCCTCTAAAGCCTCCTGAACGCCCACAGGCCGCACCTCCTGTCCGCCATTCTGAAATCGTTGTCGATGCCGCGTGCCAAATCATCGTCGTCGTCCACATTGAACAGGCCCTCCGAGCTCTTCAAGAAACACTTCAGGCACTCCATGTCGGGGCCCTGGTCGGAGCACGAGTGATGGCTCTTCCAATCGTAGCAGTCCTTCATCTCGTGGTACTGTTCCAATGTGATCTTGACCGCCCTGACGCCTTCGCCGACGCTCACGAGGCGCATGTTGTGAAGAAGCTTCGCAGCCATGAACGACTGCAATCTGCGCCTGCGCCTGGTCTTTTCTTGCGGCGGCAACTCAGCGGCGTTGCCCCTGATGCGCAGAAGCTCCCTGGCCCGCTCAATTTGGGTATTATCATACTTATGTGCCGCCATCGCCGTGCACTCGCTGTCGCGCATCTGCCTGCCACCGTAGATACGGCTCGCCCGAGGGCCCGACCCGATCGCAGCCCGATCGATCGGCCCTGCAGAAGCGACTTCCAGACCGTCGATCGAACCGAACGGACCCACGAGACACAAGAGACCCCACCTGGAGAAGGAACCCGGCGCAACAGGGTCCGAGACCTGAATCTACCAAGATTGTCCACGCATGCTTTCGCTGGCTGCGACAATGCGTCGAACCCGTGCCGCAGAAGACACAAGGACATCCAGAGTACCCCCCCCTTGAACCCACCGGGATCAGGACCGACGATCAACGTGGGAATCCGAGCTTGCCCGCAACACCTGCGGTGGGCAAATGGCCGCGGCGTCGTCTGGCTTGAACGTAGCGGCATCGTCTGCTGGTGGTCTGGCGTGGAGGCGACCATGACAAAGCCGAGGTCCACGCTGTCGATCACGACGCGCTGACCCTGAGGTATCGCAGGATCACCTGCGCAGCGCCGCGGTTGCCAGATACCGCGACGTCTACGCTGGAGCCAGCCTGGACATCGTGCTCTTTCGAGAAATCAAACCTGAAGTCAGGGGCCAGCTCGACGGTCTTGCCCTTGGCCTCGGCGATCTTCGCGTCGACGACGTTGCCAATGCCCCGGACGAGCTACATCGCGAGCTTGGAGTCCCTGTCGTTGTTGAGGATCCGCTGAATGACTTCAGACGGCTTGGAGTCGTCGCCCTCATAGCGCTTGTCCCAGATGCCAGGGGCACTCCAATCCACTGGCATGCCGCACTGGTTGAAGTAAGACTCGATAACGGCGTTCACAGACCTTCTGTCAAACCTTCCCATATTGATGAGCACGACCATGGGCCGCAAGCCTGCAATGTCGGGGCCGCGCCTCCAAGCGAACGCGTCGATGTTGACCCTGACGCTGCCGTTCTGCATCGCGCAGGCGAAGCTGTCGGACAAGTCGCTAGCCGCAGAGCGATCCACGTCGACTTGGAGTGCGAGCCTTGCTTCTCCGGCCCCCGCTGAATCAGCGAGCTCAGCATGCCGACAGCGCTGGCCGGCGGGAATGTCAGGGCGCGCATCGCGAGCTCCTCCCTCGCCAGTGCCGCTCTCTTGTTCGAGCGCGGTTGGCTCTGGCGAAGGCGGTGGCGAAGTTGCCGCGCGGCCAAGGCGCGCCCCCACGCGCCCCGACGGATCGCGAACCAGGAGCCCCCGCTCACGTCGACATGGGGACTCAACAAGCCGATCCAAAGCGAAATCCGCACCGTCGAATCGCACTGAGAAGCGCCCCACACCACAACCATCAGGCACCTGGCGGTCTGCGGCTCAGCTGGGCGCGCGAAAGGAAACTCGTCGATTATGTGCCTGCCCAAGCAGATGCCGATCCACACTGCAGAATCGCTGCCCGCGGACCTGATGAACGTCTCGCCCTGGTCTGACACGAACGTGTCGCGCTTGAAGAACTCCGCCACCTAGCCATGGTCAGAAAAAAATGCCGCGGGGAGAATCCCCCCCCTGAGGATCCCTGGGGGGGGGGGGGGGCGGGGGTGGGGTCAAACGCGCAGAGTTTCGGTGCCACCTCCTCCCCCTCCTCTTCCTCCCCCTTCTCCTCCTTCTCCTAACCCTACTCCCCCCAACTGCTCGTATCTTTCTCCCCCCCCCATCCTCCCTCGCCGACTCATCCTACTTGCCCCCCCTCTTGCTCCGACTCATCCTGCCACTCATCATCCTACTCATCCTGTTTTGTTCCGAAGCCGACCACCCGGCGCGACTCGTCCGGGCTATCGATGCGCGCGTAGTTGTTCTGGAAATCAACGGCCCAATGATCCGCGCCCGCTAGCGGGGCCAGTGCCCTCGCGGTCTCGTGGGGCAGAACGTTCTTCAAATAGTGATGCTTTCTTGCCGGGGTCGACCCAGAGCTCGACGATGCCGTCGCGCGCCACCGGCGCGCCATGGGTGGCAGCGCCAGCCATGCCGACTGGAATGGCGGCCCGGGGCGCTGGCTGAAAGGCGCCGCCGCCATCGTCGCCCGCAACGGCGGCCGCGCCGCCCTCGCAGGGAGCCCGGGCGCCAACGTCGACGTCCATCGCAAGGCGACTAAGCCGACAACGCACGCAGTCGAAGCGCACCGGGCGCTCGACGACGGGCTGCGGCAGGGGCCCATGCCGCCATAACGGAAGAGGGCGCGGGGGGGGGGAAGGGCAACAAGGCGGACAGCTCCGCCGTCCTCGAACTCCCCCCATCGCCGCCCACCCCCTCGAGACCCTCTCCGAGCCGACTGGGGGGGCTGTTTGCGTGGAGGGGGTCCATGTTCTCTCCTTGCATGCCGCCCGCCTCTCGAAGAGCGAGTTGTCTGGCCTGCGCGCTGACCTCGACGGCTGACGCGCCAGCGACGAAGGGCGAGAACGCGGCCGACGACGGGGGCGACGAGGGGGGCATCGTCGGCGATGGCAACCGACATGAGAAGGGACGGCGACAACGCAAACGACGCCACTCAAGACAATCAATGCCGAACGTCATCACCAATCGTCGTCGGTAACGACCGCCGTCGCCACCCCAATTGCGAGTCGCCGCTGACGCCGATCGCAACCGCCGCCATCGGCGCAATCGTCTGAAAAAAGCAGCAAGCAATAACTCGTTCAGCGATGCTGCGAACGATCGATGGGGCACTCGACGTGGCCGTCTGATGCGTCTGTCGACGGCGCTGCTGGCTGGTCCACGCGCTCGCTGGAACAAGGCTACTCGGACGATGCATGCAACAACTGAAATCAGATGGATTGGCCCCCGATGCAGCTTCGCACTCGCACTGCCCCCGAAGCCAGGCCAAAGAGCTCTGTGACAGACACCGCATCAGCCCAATCGTTGCTCAAATCCCACCAGCCCTTTGGGCGTGAGTGGTTTAGCGAGCTCTCTCTGTTCTCAACCCCCCTTCTTCCCCTTCGGGGAGGGGTTTACCCCTCCCCCTCCCCCCTCCCCCTGGGCCTGGAGAGGGCGTTTCGCGGGTGGTTGGAGGGGTCTTTTTCGACTCCTGGGAGGGCTAAAATTCGACACCCCTCACGAGGATTCTGGCCCCGACGGGGGGGGGGGAGAAAAATGCTCGCCCCATCTGTGATCGATCGCCCGACAGATGACCCCAAGATTCCTCCCAGACCCCTCCCAAAGAGCCCCAAGAGGCCCCAAGAGGCCTCCCAGAGGCCCCCAAGATGCCCCCAAGAGGCCCCCAAGAGGCCCCAAGAGGCTCCCCCGAGGCACCCAAGATGCTCCTGGAAGCCCCTGGGGCCGCCAAGAGGCCCCCAAGACGCCCCAAACGGCCTCCAAGAGGCTCCCAAGAGGCCCGAAGAGGCTCCCCCAAGGCACCCAAGACGCTCCTAGAAGCCCCTGGGGCCGCCAAGAGGCCCCCAGACGCCCCAAAAGGCCTTCAAGAGACTCCCAAAAGACATCTACGACTACTACTACTACTACTACTACTACTACTACTACTACTACTACTACTACTACTACTACTACTACTACTACTACTAACTACTAACTACTACTACTACTACTACTACTACTACGACTACTACTACTACTACTACTACTACTACTACTACTACTACTACTACTACTACTACTACTACTACTACTACTACTACTACTACTACTACTACTACTACTACTACTACTACTACTACTACTACTACTACTACTACTACTACTACTACTACTACTACTACTACTACTACTACTACTACTACTACTACTACTACTACTACTACTACTACTACTACTACTACTACTACTACTACTCCTACTCCTACTACTCCTACTACTACTACTACTACTACTACTACTACTACTACTACTACTACTACTACTACTACTACTACTACTACTACTACTACTACTACTACTACTACTACTACTACTCCTACTACGAGGGGCCCGAACGACTTGCACCAGGACGAGGTGCCCGAACGCCTCACGCAACGAGGAGCCCGAACGACTCACACCAGGACGAGGGGCCCGAACGACTCACACCACGAAGAGCCCGAACGACTCACACCAGAAGGAGGGGCCCGAACGACTCACACCAGGACGAGGCGCCCGAACGACTCACACCACGAGGAGCCCGAACGACTCACACCACGACGCGGGCCCCGAACGACTCACACCACGAGGAGCCCGAACGAGTCACACCAGGAGGAGGGGCCCGAACGACTCACACCAGGACGAGGGGCCCGAACAACTCACACCACGAGAAGCCCGAACGACTCACACCAGGACGAAGAGCCCGAACGACTCACACCACGAAGAGCCCGAACGACCCACACCAGGAAGAAGGGCCCGAACGACTCACACCAGGACGAGAAACCCCAAACGACTCAAACCACGAGGAGCGGTTTCTCTCCCTCCTCCTCCGCCTCGTCCTTCTCCCGCTCCCACCACAAGGAAGATGTACAAGGAGGCGGGAGGAAGGAGGAACAGGGGAGAGATGCGGGGGCAGGCGGAAACACACCTGAAAAACACGACTGTGGGCATGCTTCGCAAGAATTGCTGTTTTGAGATGGGCTGGTGGGGATACGCGAAGCGTGAAGAATTCGAAGAAACGCTTCTGCTCAGAAGAACGCACAGCGCGCGCAGCGCGTTCAAGTTGCCCTGGGCCCTAGCCCGAGGAACGTTAGACTGAATCAATCCAGCTCAAGCTCGGCAGCCTCTGCTGGCGTGCACGAGCTCGATGGCCGCCTCAAGTCCTTCTGCGCATCCATGACCGCGGGTGGAATCTTCGCGTCGGTGGACATCGTCTTCGCATCCTCTTCGTCGAGATCACTGCTGGCCTTCTGCGCGTAATGCTTCAACTGGATCGATGGGCTTTCGGCGGACTGGCACCGCGGCTGCTCAGCCTCGCCGCTGAACCTCGTGAAGCATGCGAAGACAGAATCCCCGCCGCCCCCCTGCGCGAAGATGCCGCCCCAATTGCTCGCGAAACCATCCGGAATTGACTGCCTGGTTTTCGGCGCCGACGCACGAGCCCCCGAAA